TCTAGATTTAGCAACTTAGAGAGCTGACAATTCAAAATTTGCGTTATGTACTTCAACATAATGTTGGAGGGGCAAACTAAAGTATGGGTATTATGGCGCAGTACCTATTAGACGCAGTGTGTAATAACTCGTGATCCAGTAACCAGAATCGGATAATTTTATTCGTCTCGATAAGACGAATAAAAATTATCCGATTCTGATCACTGGATCACGAGATATCTTCATTTAAATAAAGAAACCAGGTTTATTTTCTTGTAAGAAATCATCGTAACATGCTAAAATTGACTTTTTTTACTAAGTAAATCGACCTTAGTGTATTAAGTAAAGTTGTTCGAAATGCAAACTTCTACATTATATAAAATTTTGGTAAATTTTGAATAACTTTTTATTAATACACTTTCTTTTTATACGTTTCTGCGCTAGTGATATAATTATGGCACAAAATCGTAGAAAACGAAAGTGCATTAATAAAAAGTTATCTGAAATTTACCAAAATTTTATGTTATGTAGAGATTTGCATTGCGAACAACTTTGCTTAATGCACTAAGATCGATTTACTTAGTAAAAAAGCAAGTTTGGCATGTTACTATGACTTCTTGTAAGAAGACAATTAATTATAAAACTAGTTTCTTTATTTAAATGAAGATTTCTCGTGATCCAGTAACCAGAATCGGATAATTTTTATGCCATTCGATTCGTCTCGATGTGACAAATCTAATGGTATAAAAATTATCTGATTCTGATTACTGGATCACAAATTATTGGCCGTAAAACTTATGTGTGCCATAATATCTATACTTACCTTATGATCCAATTTTTCATCATTTTGAAAAGTCAAACAAAGACACAAAAAAAATATTGGGATATAATCCTGCTGTTAAAACAAGAGGTATCAGTGAGCAGGATTTCAAACAAGTCGTTCGTAAGAAAATGAGTAGTGAAAATTAATACCTGATTGCAAAATAATAAATAATTGCTAGATAACTAGTAATATTGTCTTGTGTATTTTATTGCACATTTTGTATAATTAAATTGTTAATTAATTTAATTAAGGTTCAATAATGTCTGATTATATAAAATTAAAACAAATATAATAATTTTTAAAATTTTAATTGACCAGAGTATAGTGCAAATATCCAAAGGAATCTAAAATTATAACTCTTTTATAAGTATTTGGAAAGTTTGTAGTCCATATAAGACCCATAAAGTAATACCGATACATCTTGTAAACCATAAATCATCGAGATACTTTTCAATTGGTTCTTCTAAAGACAGTTAATAGCCCTTAAACTATGATGCGTAGTAAAGTGGCGTAAATTTGATATTAGGTTAATTTCACCATAATTACATTCTTCTTACAGTTCATTAATTAAAAGATCATTATACTTTTTTATTCATTTACGTAGTATCATAATAATGATAATATAATGTACAAAAAGCACCGGAACTTTTACTAACATTTCCGATATTTGCAATTACTGTATATCTGATATGTGTGAAAGTTCTAATAAAAATAGTTCATTTCTTTTATTTTTATTAAAAATTGTTGAATTGAAAGTTTAATATACAGTTAACATGAAAATTTAAATTTATTGATATTAAAAATCTCAAATCTTTAACTTAGTATCACATGAAATAATGGAGAAGGGTATTATTTATTGCTTTTCATTATCGAATTCATTATTTACGAAATGTTAATAATTCGGAAAAAATTTAAAATTTAATAAATGATTACCAATAATCTATCTTGCATTTCACGAAATAACTCACGAATGGAATAAAAAGAAAGTGAATAAAGACAGTAAAATAATAAAATATATATAACCTTTGGCATTTTCTATCAAAAAAACTTTCTACAAAAAAAAAAAATATTCTATTTTAAATGTCTAAATAAAGTAAAGCCATTCGTTCTTTTTTCACTAGATTTCATATATCATTATTATCAAAACTACCTATTATAAATTATAATTTTATGTATCAAAATGCATAAATACATATAAAGTAGAATTCAAAAAAAATATATATATATATATATAGAGTTATAACATCTTACCATAAAAAGGCGTATAAAAAGATTCCGCGACACCAACTATAGGAATAGAATCTTTTGCTTTTTTTAATTCATCCAATGAAAATGATTCCGACCCGATTTGTCTTGAGGTAACATATCTAAATTCACGAAAATGACCACCACAATCTTGAGCGTAACGAGTGATGATTCTTAAATATTCATCAGTAACCATAAGACTACTATAAAAAATTAACGTCGTGATCCTTGCACTACATAGTTGTAATTTGAGTAATAAAGTTTCCAAAGTTTCCACTGGAATATGAAAATTAATACCGAAACTTTGTAATGTTGGTGGAACAGATTCAGCAAAATCTTGAATTGAAAAAATTGAAGATACTAAAGATTCGGGATAAATTTTTAAAGAAAGGGTTTCAAGTTTTGGTAATGATGAAAGTAAAGAATAAAAATCTATAAAATGTTCACTTAATATAGCTATAGATAAATGAGTAAGATTTGGACAATAATGTTCAATAGCTTTCATTAATTCAGGAGTAACATTAGATAAAAAGGTGAAGGTTTTAAGATTTTGATTACTCATTTTTAAAAGTTGAATAAGAGAAATTATATGTATTTGACTTGTTGGGCTAATATCATGTCTAAGAGGCATGCATGGCATACAATAAAGATCATGAATATTAATAAAACTTATAGGTAAATCAAAAAGATCAGGAATATCTTCAGGATCAAATCCTCGTAATTCCAAAGTTTGTAAATTTTTACATTTCATCAATAATTTCAACAACTGATTAAATTCATTTACACCATCCAACTTGAGATGAGTTAAAGAATGAGAATGAGATTGAATAGCCTTGTATAATGCTTTTGTTTTTAAATCTTCATCAGAATACATGTTGATAGAAAGAATTTTGATACAAGATTGAGACTGTATAAATTGTAAAATCGCTTTTGTAATTTCAGGACGTAAATCGCTTTCTGTATTAATCGAAAGATGATGAATATTACGAGTACATTGAGATATGGCAGTAAATAACTTTCCAGTAATTTGAGTAGGAAGACAACAATATTCAAACTTGAAGGTCCTAAGAGAAGCAATTGCATGTTTGAAACCGGAGAAAGTAGTAATATCCAACAAATTGATAGTGTTGAATTCTTCATTCCAATGATAAGTCAATTCTCTAAGATTATAACAATTACTAAAGATGAGATTTCCTAAAAGTTGATAAATGAAACGAGTTTTTTCGCCCAAGTTTCTAGTACTAGATCTAAGAGAACGAAGCCATCTCTCTATAGCCATTCGAATTTGATGAGATTCATAATTTTGCAAATATTTTGGATAATTAAATAAGGAACGAGAAGAATTAGCGAATATAATATCTTTGGCAATCAATTGTTCTTTTTCAATATCAGAAAGACAAGAAACATAAGTTTGAATTATCAAAGGAGCATTCTCTTTGCTCACATAATCAAAAGGAAGACTCCAAAGCAATGGAACGACGAGTCGACAAAAATGGCGATTTACCAGAACGAATGAATAAAGAGAAGCCTTGTCATTTTTAAAATGTAAAAAAATTAAGTCAAGGCAATCGGAAGACAGTCGGAAAGGATTAACATGTGATGCAATAAATTTATTCATTTTAAGTTTTGTAAGCGATGACGAAAGTTAAAACTTAAAGGATCGGGGAAATACGTACGTACGACAAGATGAAAAGAACCGCATACATTCTGACATTTAATCAGACAGGGGATCATACATTGATGCACGTACTATTATTCTGCATAACATATTTTCGAAGATCGGTATAAATTCGGATAGGTTTTTGATGATTCCACATAACCAGATTTTTACGATAACAATTATTGAAAACCGTTAGTTCGAAAAAAAAAAACAAAAACACCTTTAAAAATAATAATTACTGTACAGTGACGTGCAGACATTATACCACTTGAAGGCAACCATTGTTGTTCAATTTGGGTAGAAATATGATCATAGGCGATAAACAATAATTAATAATGTGATGAATTAAAATGTAATCTTTTTATAAGATATATAATAATTGTAATTTGATTTATTGAATTTTAAATGTAATCACGACCGAAACCCATAATAAAACTAAAACTGATAATATTAAGATGAATTTATATGATGTAATAATTTTTTCAATATTGATTTCCCAGAGTTAAAATTACTTACGATGAAGTATCGAACAATAAGGTACCAAAGTATTGATAGCAAATAAGTGTTAAAAAGTATTAAAAAAAATAAAATAATTCATCAGAATGAAGAAGAGAACCAAGAATAAATTATTATTCACGAACTAATTTCTTATTTAGCTTTATGGAATTAATAAATAAATATATTAAAAAAAAATATATGAACTCCTTTTTTCTCCTAAGGATTATGAATATCTGATTTTCTATCCAAAGCGTTACTTAATGTCAACTTTTTTGTTTGATTGAACAATATGAAATTAGTATCTATTGGATTAATAAGTTCAGGTAGGCTTAAAGAAATAGTTATCGTACCAGATTTGTTTAAAATTGTAATGTTTTTTACTTATGGTTTATACTATACTAATTAGTATTTCCTTCGACCATGATGCTGGTATACGTATTATTATCTTTAACAGCATTATTTTCAATGTTATTAGTATTTCCAAGAGAAACAATAATTCCTTTTTCTTCTGCGAATATGTCTTTATTTTCAATAACACTAACTCTTTTTTCCTTTTCATTCTCCTTGATTATCACATGATCTTCTTTAGTATTATTAATTAAATGATTCCAGCTTTTTGTTCTTCTTTCTTTTAATTTATTGCGATTCCCAACAATATCGTTATTCAAACTTTTCGTTTTTTCCGATAAAATGTCTCCTGGTTCATCAGTTCCATATTCTTCTACAAGATCTATCGTTATGTTGATGTTATTATCATGTTGAATATTAGACAATTCGTTGCTGATATTACGAGGCTTGATATTTTCTGATTTTGAAATTTTGTTCTTAAAAAAATTTCCTGATTTAATTATAATTATGATGTTTTGAAAAATTATTATGACTCCCATTATCATTGTAAGAAATGGAATTATATCGTAATATTGGACGCTAAATCGATAAATAGTCTAAAAATCAAGAAAATTAAAATTAGTATAACAACGTTTGAAAAAATAAATGAAGGTATATATACCTGAATGACTAATTGAGGTATGTCACCGATCAAAGAGAAGCATATTACACCCCAAAAGATGTATTTTTCGGCCACTTTTGAAAGTGGTGCATCAAAATGGCAAAATGTTGAGAGGTTTACGTTAAGTAAATTTAAACATTCTATATGAACAAGTGATAGCAATGAAATGATTGTAGTATTTATTATGTGCTTTGTAAACCATTCGTAAAATTCTGGGTTCTTGAATATTTCTCGATAAATTATGTATATTACAAGTAATATTTTCGCGATTATTGGCATAAAGAAAAATACCATACTGTATAAAAATATTAGCGATGAATTACTTTTATCATGTCTAGATTTTACATTGCAAAGATCGTGGATCGTGATTACTTACTTAGGTATGTAAAGTACCTCAACATTGCGACTATCTCTGAGTAAAAATATTAGGTCTAAACAAAAATCAATAATAAACAATACGACTTGGAATAATAGGTAATTATTACTCTAGGATTCGTCCCAAATTTATAAACATTCATTAGAGTTGCAATGTAAAAAAAAAAGAAAGTTGGATGTAGAGAATGATATTTACTTCAGGATTTTTCCTTTGTGCTAGTAATAGTATGACCAAGCCGATGAACAGAATTATTATTATGATAGGATAAAAATATTCATACATTGTACAATATACGAAATTGAATATAATATTACTATTTATTATGATTTTATCGCAAGAGAAATCGAAAAGACTTTCTAGAACCGATGTTTTGGATTCATATAATATGAAATCAGAACGAGTAAAGATCCTACATATTAATTTTAATATGTAATGCTGATTCAACAAATCTAGCAGATCAGATTACATACGCATATTTTAGTACACTTTGCTATATTATTTAATTTCATTGTAATATTAGTATCAACAAAGAAAAGCTTTAATCCTCTCCTTCTTCCCTAATCAGGTTATATTCATTATTAACTTGATTTATGACTTTCTTAGAGATTGGCATTAAGTGGCATTAAGGAAAGATCTGCATAAATCAACACAAAATTATACCGATACTTTACATCTATAGAACAAATTGAATGGTATGTACGTAAAATATTTATCGTTATCGTTATTATTATATACTGTTACCGTTACACGTCAATGGTCACGTTACGATAGTTCTTTTGTAAGGGATGTTAGAAACATAAATCGACGTAGTGTACGATAATCACAATATCAAGTTTTTCATAAACAAGTACGTGTGAAATTCATACCTACATACTTCCTTTCAATTACTTCAATTATTCTTACTCTAACCCCAGTTAAACCGTAACTTGCCGATTCCTGTTTACTTTTGTATATAATATACGCATACATTTATGTTTCTATTTCACCCATATTATGCAACTCCTTCGCTCTTCCTCTGGTCATATACGTGTACTTGGTATAAACTCTAAATTTATTCTAATCCGTATTCAATTACAGCTGTTTTCATTATTCCTGGGACAACTGAAAAAATTGTTGTTAGCCGAATCGAGTTGGAGTCAATAATCGCCACATCGAATTGAATCCGTTTACGGACGAGTTCAGACCAGTGTTGGAAATTCAAAAATATTAAAAAGATTTATTTTAATAATCTATGTTCACTGTGAATATTAACATATAACGATAATTTCCAAAGCTGGTTCGGACCCATGATTTTGCAAGACCCGTACGGTTTCGGATCCATATAAAGGTCCGATCGGGTAATACCCACACTAGTAGTAATCGTACGTACGTACATATCTAGCCATTTCTAATTATTATAAATTTTACCTTTTTTAAGAATTCAGTCCAATAATTTAAGATAATTTAAGTGATATTATGTAATTGTCGGGAGTAAGTATACAGTGGCGATCATATGATTTGCATCACATGATTTTTTTTATAATAAAACATAGTAAAAATTGAAATTTACGCTCTATATAAAAGTTTATTATAAAAATTTTT